TCTTTTTTTTTTTATGTTCTTGTTCAAAGTGGCATGTACAGTACATTCGACGAGTCAACTACGAACTTAAATTGAATAAATAGAATTATGAACTAGAAAATCTTTGTCTGTTTTAGGTGGTGAATAACAAAAGGTCGTCGCCTTAAAACCTCAAAGTCAAATGCTTCACATGACATACGAAGCTTGCGAGTTAGCTAGTGAACACGCATTCCTTGTCATTTGTAAAAAAAACTCTGTTTATTTTAAATTTGACTGTGGCAATCAATTATTTGTGCAGGTGGTTGGTATGAGCATTAGAAATGAGCTACGAGGCTCCCGGCAAAACTTGCCCGACTATAATAAATTCATGCAAGCTGGACAAACACCGTTCACCAAGAAAGTCCTCATCTTCTTGTCATAGTCTCAGGACTACACTCTGATATCAACCTCAGCTTTCTAAAAACAAAGCCATTAAGTCTACAACTGAACAACAAATTAGTCTTAGAAGCTCATTGGTACACATTTGGCATCTCGGCTGCTACATGGACCAGACGAACTAACTTTGTATGCAATTATATAACTCAAGCAGCTCGCAACAATTATCTTTTCTTGATAAACGGCGACAACCCTTTTCCCCTTTTTCTAAGCGAATTCGGTATAGACCAAAGTGGCGAAAACGAGGCAGACAACATGTACATAAATTGCTTGTTAGCAGAAGTGGCGGGAAAGGATATCGAGTGGTCACTGTGGGCCCTTCAAGGAAGCTACATGCTTAGACAGGGGAAAGTCAATGCTGATGAAGCTTACGGAGTTTCGGATTTTAACTGGGATCATCCAAGAAATCGCCGTTTTCTTAGGAAGTTGGAACTTATAAGGCATATAAATCAAGGTAATCTTTTTAGAGAAAAGTGCATTTTTCGTCCTGTAAGTTTACCCCTCTGAACAATTTAGTCCTCTTCGAATAGCCAATTTGAGTTTCGTCCTCTAACTTTAAAAAAAGGTTGCAGATTCGTCCCCGACTCGTCGGAAAACCGTTAATTGGTCGGAAACATGCACGTGACACGCACATGATTGAAACTAACGGCTCTTTAAGCCTACATGGAGCCAGATTTTCCACGCTGGCGACCTTATTTACACGTGGAGGACAGAAAATAAACGAAAAAAAAAAAATCCACGTGCCGACACACTTCGAAAAGAACCGGGCATAAAATGAAACGGGTTTTCTGATATTGAATCGTTTCCATCCTCCTTCAACCCTATTTTCCCAAATCACAAGATCCCCAAATCTTCAAGAACCCTAATTTTGAAAATTGTTGAGAAAATTGTTGATTTTGTTCTTCCAAATTGTCGATTTCTTCAAGAACCCTAATTTTCCTTCACCTTCGAAATTTTCCTTCACCTAATTTCATTATCATGTATGGAATTTAGATCCTCATTTCATTTCAATTGTACGAACTTTAAAAAAATGAACCATTTTCACCTCGAATTTAGGGTTTTTCATAAAAAAACGAACATTCCACTGTACGAATTTAGGTCCATTGTGCATACGAATCTGCTTCCGGATGAACATCTTCTCAGGAATCATTTGAATTCTTACTTCTCAATATTTGATTTCGAGATTTCGGTTTTTTTGGCTTTGGGATTTGGGAACGATGGAGGGTTTTTTTTAGAGAGAATTTGGATTTGGAAACGCGACGAGATTGCGGGAAGGGGAAGAAGTGGGATGTCTGTTCAGTTTTCATGCCTTTTCATTGTTTTTCCCTCCTAATCCACGTGTTTCGGCACGTGGAATTTTTATTTTTTTTTCGTTTATTTTTCGTCCTCCACTTGTAAATAAGGTCGCCAGTGTGGAAAATCCGGCTCCACGTAGGCTTAAAGAGCCATTAATTTTCATCATGTGCGTGTTTTCGGCCAATTAACGGGTTTCCGGCGAGTCGGGGACGAATCTACAACCTTTTTTTAAAGTTAGAGGACGAAACTCAAATTGGCTATTCGAAGAGGACTAAATTGTTCAGAGGGGTAAACTTACAGGACGAAAAATGCACTTTTCTCATCTTTTTATTTATTTATTTTTTTTTCTTTTTTCGCATGGACACACACAAGTCAGTACTTATTGTTCATATTTGTGTTGGTTAATAACCACTTTAGTACCATGTTAGTAGGGGTGAGCAACTAACTGAACCGCACCGCAAAAGACCGAAAACCGAAAAACTAGAATTTGTTCACCGAACAGCACCGCAAGAGAAGAAAAAACCGAACCGAATCGAACCAAAATCGAAAAATTCGATTTGGTTTGGTTCGGTTTTTCGATTAACTGCATTAAAAAAGACTAGGTTACAGTAGTTTAATTGTAAATTGTGATGTTGTTAATTATTGTTACTTTCCAAACAAAAAAGAGTGGTGCATTGTATATTTGTTATACTTATAGTACTTATATAATGACACTTTTTTAATCTATTCGGTGGGGTTCGGTTAAAACCACAAAACCGAAATGCACCTAATTTTTTGCGGTTTTTCAAATTTTAAACCGCACCGTAGAAATCGAACCTAACCGCACCGAATACATCGGTTCAGCTCGGTTTTTTTTTTTTGTTTTGGCTCGGTTTTGTTCATTCATGTATGTTACAAAAGTTTTGATCTTGCTATGCTATACAGACCCGAAATCGAAAAAACCGACCCGCTACATAATGTTCCATCCTCAAAGCGGCAAATGCGTACGCATGAGCAAGGCAAACCGTACTTTGCTAGACAACTGCAAATACGCGAGCCGGTGGGACCAAGAAGGGAGCCGGATAAAGCTGGCCGGAACTCAACAGTGCCTCATGGCTAACAGAGATGGGGCCGTAGCCTCTGTTACGAAAGATTGTTCGAGAGGTAATTGGCAGTTTGCATCGAGCTCGGGACTTCATTTAGCAGTCCAGATTGAACAAGGCAAGTATCTGTGCTTGGAAAAGAATGCTTATGGACCTAAAATCATTACCAAGAGATGCCTTTGTGTTGATGACAAACTAGCTGATCTCAAAACTTGTGATGAAAATCCACAAGTTCAATGGTTTAAGTTAGTTCCTACCAATGTGTGATGCTTCACCATAAAGACTGACATGGGACTAATATACTTGGTAATGTCTAAATGATGTTATGCCATTTTTTTTTTAAAAATTTTTATTAAATTAATTGATGTAGAGGTAGATATAAAACAAACAGGCCAGCCGAATTATGTTTTATTTACATATGTGATCATCGAAACAGATGTATCATTTTTCTTTTTCCTTTGTCGATTTCTTTTTTCTTTTTTTAGGATCAATAGTATTACAACGTCCCCTTGGTGACTCGAACTCATGACCTATCGGTCATAGATGAAATATCTTACCACCAAGCTACGTTTTGTTGTCTCTTTTGTCGAACTTTTAATTCTACAAGATTAAGATAATTTAATTATTTTTCGTTTGTGCTTTTCCTTACTGTTGCAGTGATTGTTTACTTAACTCAAAGCCTATGGGGCTTTTTTGTATTATTTTTTAATACTGTTTAAAATAATCTTACGAGTAAATTACATTTTAGTCTTGTATGTTTCACTACCTAAACTTTTTCGTCCTCTTCGAATTGCGTTTTTGATTTTCGTCCCGTATGCTTGTAAAAAAGTTACAAAAAAGTTTTTTTTCATACATAAGGGACGAAATTGGAACTTTTTTTACAAAACATAAAGGACATTTTTTTTGCGAAAATGACCTTTTTGTAATCTTTTTGCAAACATACGAGACAAAAATAAAAAACGCAATTTGAAGAGGACGAAAAAATTAAGGTAGTGAAACATACATGACTAAACTTGCATTTTACTCTAATCTTACTATAAAATTCAAATGTGGGAAACTAACCTACCTTTGCCAAAGGATATGCTGTTGAAATCAGAAATGGAGAAGCTACAAGGATAGATGATGTTAACTGGATTCCTAAACTTCTGCATCCTAAACCTACTCTGATTGAAATAGCCAGAGGGCATTTAATTTGGGTTAAGGAGTTTATCTCTGACTCAGGGCTTGAATAAAACTCTTGGCTTATCAACCAAGTGTTTAATTCTCAGGACAGCAGGGCAATCCTTGATATTAAAACTCTTAAGCCAGGAAAACAGGACAAATTGTACTGGAAGTTCAACAAGAAATGTGAGTTCACAGTCTCCAGTACATATGCTTTCTTATCCCAGCAAAAACTTCTCTCTCTTGATATTCCCAACAACAGCAATATAACTGGTCAATCTAGTTCAAAGATCAGACAGAGGCTTTGGAAACTGCACATTGTCAACAAAGTTAAAATTTTCATCTGGAAATGCATAGCTGAGGCTCTTCCTGTCAAAACAAATTTGAGGAAAAGAGGATTGAACTTAGGTGTTGTCTGCAGTGCTTGTGGAGAGGAACCAGAGACAATCAGTCATGTTTTATTTCACTGATCTAGAGCTGCTCATCTGTGGAGTATTGCCCCTGTCTCCTGGACTCAGCTACCAAACCATGATTCATTTTTCAGAAGCTGGTGGATGGATATATGCTCCATTGACAATTCAGAGACATCACAGGCCAGAACTCAACTCACTACCTACATTCTATGGTGGCTCTGGAAGACGCGCAACATTTGCATTTTTTAAAATATCATCATGCCCATTCAGGTCACCTTGAAGGCTGCCCACCAGGATTGGTTGGATTTAATCTAATTGAAAACTTAATGTGTATGTCTTTCTTCTTGGTTGCTGTGGTGTTTTGTTCCTTTTGTTTTATGTTGTTTGTCTGGTTGTTGTTAGCAGGAGTTTTTTCTCACCTCTAGGCTTTTGGGCAGTGGATGGTGTTTCTTATCTTGTATTTTTTAGTTTCCTTGTTGAGGTTCTAGGCCGCTTTAGGCGTGTCCTTTCAGTTTTCATTTTAGGATTTGGCTTGTAACATTCGAACTTGGTTCGCTTTGAGTTATATAATATTTCTGACGTTTCGTTAAAAAAAATAAAATTAATAATATACAATCAAGTAAATTTTGTTGGTAACACATATATAGTTTTACAATATCTCATGACTTGCATGTATGTCACTCAAGCGCACACATCCCACCTCTTCCTAGATTTTTTTTTTTGGACTGCTTTACGAATTACGAGTAGCCATTTAGACAAAGCATAATATGGTCATGCATGTTGTAAAGCGGTTCACTTGTTTCGGTCATAGTGAAAATAAGTGGGGATGCTTGGATGCAAAATTTTCTAAAAAATTTTATTTATTTTTAATCAATTATTTTTTTTTTTCAAAATTCAAATTCAACTTAATTTTAACTCTACCCCACAATCTTTAATATATTATCAATATAGTTAAATAATACAATTTAATCATTATTACACATTATATCAATTTTAATTCACTATTCATTCACTCACATAATTTAAGTAACTATCACGTCACATCATCTTTCTACTATTTTTACATCGAATCAATTTTAATTATTTTATTTTAAAAATTATTTTAATTTAAATTCAAAATCACACCAACAACTAATCATACAATTTTTTCAAAATTAACCATACCAAACTAAAAAAAGTACACCCGAAGTGTCAAATGACACACTGGAACCAGAAGACTGGACTAACCTCCTTGTCACTACAAACAAGGGATGCAAACTCCATCAAGGAGGCAAACAACTACAACACGAAAAACAAAAAAACACAAACTCCATAAATGAGATAAAAGCAGACACAACTGCACTGATAGCAGACATAACTGCACTAAACGACACAAACCAAACAAAAAAGAAACAAAATACAACTCACACCTAATAGACAAATAAAATAAGACCTCCCCAAAACCAAACAAGCGAGCTGAACGATTACCATATTGACCCCCGAGGCCCCACACCTCAGCTATCAGCCCAACAGAGCCACAAAACTAAAGCCCGAACCCAAAAACTGCGAACAACCGCCTAGACAGATCCGGCGAGGAGGCCATTCTCTCCAGATCTAGGCTCCAGAAGACTTCAGCGTCGGCAAAGAAAGGAGGAGTCGCCACGAACACATCGGAGGGCTCGAAATCAAGATCCGATGAAGGACCACCCAAGGCTACCACCGGACGAGCTCCAGCGGCCCAGCCACTCGGCGGACGGGCGGGCCACAACCCACTTGAAGAAATTCAAACCAGAGCAGGGAATCCATGCCCTTTCCACGGCATCGCAAAGACATAGCACGAGTCTGACTCCGACAGGGCAGCAACCCCTACGACTGAATCCAGAAAAAGGCGGCATCGCTTCCTCCGCGGCCGTGGACACGGATCGGCGAGACCCGCGGCCGACCGGGTCTCCCGTGGAACTCTGCGGGGCCAAATAAACGGAACCAGTCGTGCCACGGTCTGGCAAGCTGGACGGTTGAAGCACCTCACCGGCGGAGAAAGGGGGCGACGGAAAGACGAAATCTGCTTTCTTTTTTTCTTAAAGACGAGATCTGGTTTTAAGAGAGAAAAGGGGGTCTAGAGACCTCAATTGTGTTGTGTTCTGACTGTTTAGTCTAGAGTTATGCTCGTTACTTTTTGTCCCTTTAAATATGGCATTTTTTTGGGTCAATTTATATCCATACTTTTTCTTTAAAAGAGGATCAATAGTGATTTTCCACTTACCCCCTACATGACTCAAGACATATTCTTCTTAAGTGAAGAGTGCTACCAACTGAGCTACCTCTTCTTATCAATTTATATACATACTTAACTATTGTTAAATAATTGCAAAAATATTAAATGAAAAGCTTATTTGTACATCTATATAAACTAACATAAATATTTAGATTAATACTAGCTGTTACAAACACCTCATTCAACAAGAGAGTTTTTTTATGAATCTCGTAACCGATGGATTCTCATTCCATTATATATATATATATAAAACTTCTTTAAATTTTTGAATTTTACCAGATCTTCCATTTTTTTTTCTTGTAGTTGTGAGAGGAAGAATGACCAACGAGAGCAAAGTTGAGATATCGGTGAAGCACGAATTGAATGCGAAATGGGACGCCAACCTCGATTTAGGTCTCCGCCGCTTTGCGTATGCTTCGATCACGTGGCAGTTTTGCCAGAATTCTTCTCTTCTGTAAGTGTTTATTCTCCATTTTCTCAAGCTATAAGTGTTTTTTTGGTTGTGATATCAAACTGGGTTCATAGCCTGATTGGATTAGGCCTCGGCTAGCTGGCAAGGGAGACGATATCGAAGGTGGAGGATCTGACTTGGGATATTTATAAGCCTTGAGGTGGTCCAGGTGGGCTGATTTTTCGGCCTTCTTGAAACCGACGAGTTTGGCAGTGGCGGGAGGAAGGAGGAAGGGATGACAGTGATGTTTTAGTATATATATCACTTTCTTACCAAACAAGGTTTACAATTTTTTACATCACCTCCCCCTTCCCTTCTCTCCCCTCCATTAAAATCCCTCCCATCTCTTTCCCTCTGTTGAAACATACCCTAATTCGCTATTCATCCACTCACATATTTTAACTATCTATCAATTCTATCATTCATCTCATACTTTACAACACACAAACTTTAATTATTACATTTTAAATATTGTTTAATTATAATACATCATCTCACTTAATCAACTTTATTCAAAATAACTCACTCTAACTCAGGACCAATCAAAATCGATTTTAACTGGTTATAAGTGCGTGACAATCGCCCCCTTAAATTTTTATCAAATATTTTATGCAAACTTTATCTTGTTATCCAGAATACACTTCATAAATCCAAAAAATATATGAACAACTATTTTATAAAGTGAAGATTGAAGTCATTTTAAAATGTGTAGGGGTCATTTTGAAACATAGAATAACTATTTTATAAAGTGAAGATTGGACTCATTTTAAAATGTGTAGGGGTCATTTTAAAATATTCTCCTACTTAATTTCATTTCAAGCAAGAGAATATTTTTCTTATGCAAAACATAAGAATAGAAATACAAGAAAGTGGACCTTAGACTGAAAAAAGGAAAATGCTATTTATTCCTACAATCATACTCGTCGTGGACTCGTGGTGCACCTCCTCTTTTGGGGGGAGGGGGATATTTGATAAGATTAGAGATTTA